CAAAGGTCATACATATTATGCCTAAATAAAAAAGTTATCAATTTTCAAATTCTCAAATAGCTCAAAAGGATAAGATTAATGTGCACCGTCTCCCTTTCCCCAAGGAACCCAATGCTTTCCTCCTCTTTCTCTCCTCCATGTATCAACATATGTGTTTATTTATAAATCTGTAAGTATATTTCAGTTTATAAAATAAATCATCCATGCTGTTTCTCTTGCTCAAAAAGTGGATTTACTAAGAAACTACTGGCACTTAAACTTCATGGCCCCTTATTTGCAAGGGTGCCTTCCAAGTTTCTGAACCTAACTATAGTCATAATTTTTATTCTTTACCTTAGAGAAGTACCGCAAAATGTATAAGTTTCAGATATCACAATAGTTGATCTGCCTCTCATTGTTACTTCTCCTGGGTCAGATGCTCTCTACCCTATGTTGTCTCTTTAAATCTTCCACTTTCCAAAATCACGTTCAAATCCTGCCATGGGAAGTCTTCTGTGATTACTCCAACCTAAACTGACCTATCTCTCCTCTGAGTTTCCATTGCACTTAATCACTATATGATTTGATTATACAGGTCCACAGCCTTTTTTCCACAACTTTCTGGGTCAACTGAGTTTTGGAATTTAGAATTTCTTGTACATTATTGTGCAAAACTATGTACTAAGTAAAAACCAAAAATCTGTTGCCATGAAGTTGATTCCGACTCACAGCGACCCTATAGACAGAGTAGAACTGCCCCACAGGGTTTCCAAGGCTGTAAATCTTTACAGAAGTAGGCTGCCACAGCTTTCCCCTGTGGAGCGGGTGATGGGTTCGAACCGCCAACCTTTAGGTTAGTAGCCGAATGCTTAACTACTGCTCCACCAAGTTTCCTTTATATTAAGTAATAATGCATAAATCATGTATTATGCACTATTCTTGGGGGTCCAAGATAACACCCCACAATGAAATATATTAATACTTCTTCATCAAAATCCATGAATAGTCACCCTAAGTAAGATGTTGCTGTTAGGTGTCATTGAGTTGATTCTGACTCATAGTGACACCATCTACAACAAAATAAAACACTACCCAGTCCTGTGCCATCCTCATAATTATTGTTATGCTTTTGCCCATTGTTGCAGCCACTGTGTTAATCCATCTCGTTGAGGGTCTTCCTCTTTTTTGCTGACCCTCTACCTTACCAAGCATGATGTCCTTATCCAGGTCTGGTCCCTCCTGATAACATGTCCAAAGTAAGATAAGTAAGTAAGATAAATAAAATTTATAAATAGTCTCTCCTGAGCTTGAGTCATAACTGACACCAAATGAGTTCCAAAAGAACTTTTCATTTTCAGCATTTTTTTGGATCTCAAATTGCAGTGAAAGGATTGTAAACTGAACATTATTATGCCATTATTTTATGTCTCACCAACTCAGTTCCACTTAACCAAATTAGCTCTTCACCACTGTATCCCCAGCGAAAGGTATCCAGCACGTAGTGGTGTTTAATTAATTGATCAAATGAATGAAAGAACTAAATCTTACACAAGGTTGAGCTTGTCAAAAAAGACGATTGTGTCCTGGTTAGCTGACACCTCCAGCATCAAGTCCAGGGTCTGGCACATGCTGAATGCTCAATAAATGCTATTTAAATTGAATCACACTTCTCAAATCTCTCACAATGACTACACTAGGTGGTCAGCATCCAATAAGTACTTCATGATTGATCCCAAGATCGCTTATTTGAAAAAACAAAATTGGTTCCCATAGGGAAAGGAAAAAGGGTGGAGTGTGGGGATGGAGGAAGAGTCTAGACATAGAGGAAATTTTGTTGTGGAAAAGCACTGATGCTGGAATTGTATTTCACAAGGACCTTGGACAGTGCCAGAGGGATTCCACACATCTTGAGAATTCTGGAGTGTTTTTCTTAACAACAACTGTTCCCTTGAAAACAACCTCTTTCTTGAGTCCCTGCATGAGTTAGAATCCTCAGCCTCACATTTGTAGTTCAAATATCTATTTTCCAATGCAACTTCTAGAAAAACATTTTTTCCATTAAGTGGCGTATTATTATTCCTTAGAAGACACTTATGGTACCTGCTAATAAATATATCACAAGTCAAATCACAACACAAGCCACTGCAGAAAAAAAAACAAGCTGTAACTCAGAACGTATGTAACAATTATTTTATATCATAGAATCTTGCTCTATTCTTTCATGCCAGTTCTGTACATGAACACCCATTACTTATTTCCCAAAATTAACTTTTCCTCAGTTATGATTTTAATTTAGCACTGTTTTCAGAACTGATGGCACTGGAAAAGATTTAGCTGCAACTACATTGGTACATGCGTCTTATGTTTCTAGTACAAAGGTAGTTGTCATTCAGAAGGCCTTGAATTCCCTCAGCCCATGACTATGACTGTCAAAGTTGGAAATGCCCCTCATCCATCACTACCCAAACACGGTCCAGGCTGGACCAACTAATCTCCCAACCAGGTATGCACAAAATGAGGAAAATAATCAGAGATAGCTCAAGACATCCCTCCAAGGAAGAATGGGTTCCTGGAAATATTTGTGAAGGGCAGTTTTCTTTAGTTCTGATTACATCTTTGAAAAGAGATCTTTACTTTGAATCCCACCAGTCTCCACAGATTCGGGTATATTTAGAATGGTATTTTGAATGTGTTTCCTAAGACAGAAGTGCTGCAAGATATTGATAGCTGTTATTGTAAAAATATAGAAAATAAATAAATATTATATATATATATGTTGTTGTTGTAAGGTGCCATCGAGTTGGTTCTGCCCAACAGAACAAAACACTGCCCAGTCTTGCACCATCCTCACAACTGTTGTTATGCTTGAGCCCATTCTTGCAGCCACTGTGTCAATCCATCTCATTGCAGGTCTTCCTCTTTTTGCTGACCCTCTACTTTACCAAGCATGATGTCCTTCTCCAGGGACTGATGCCTCTTGATAACGTGTCCAAAGTATGTGAGACGTAGTCTCGCCATCCTTGCTTCTAAGGAGCATTCTGGTTGTACTTCTTCCAAGACAGATTTGTTTGTTCTTTTGGCAGTCCATGGTATATTCAACATTCTTCACCAATATCACGTAAATTTTATATATATAAATATTATACATATAAACATTATATATAATAGAACTGCCCTGTAGGATTTCCAAGGAGCAGCTGGTGGATTCAAACTGCTGAGTTTTTTATATATACGTATATAATAAAATTTATATATATATATGTTTTCCTTTGTCAAATAAATCTGGAAACCCTGGGTTAAACCAAATCTATCAGATTTCTCCATCACGGGATTTCTCAGGATCCTTAATTTGTTACTATGACATCAAGAGCGTATGACAGGCCACATCTCTCAGACATATTTATCTACTGACTCTTCATCTCTAAAAACATCTTTCTAGCACTAGTGTTCCATGGAACACGCTTTGGGAAACATTGCTTTTGAATATGGTATACCGTTTTTTTGCACCTTTTACTTGTATCCCTTTCCTCAATCCTGTAAAAAATTGCTTCTTTGTATTACATATTTCTCAATAAATTCACTATTTTGCATTTCTACATCTGAGGAAATCCATCTACTATATAAAATACATTTTCCATTCCTGTAATTGACCATTACTAGTTTTTGTTTAATTATTTTGAAATCACTTAAATCAATGGTTTCCTGACCTAAAAAAAAAAAAGGAATTGTGCTAACTTATAATTAAATAGCAAATTAAAATATCCCATAACCAAAATTATACATAAAACCCATGAGTCTGCCCGCACACTACTTTTCTCTAACCAACGGTATGAAGTTGAATTTATGACTGTCATGTGAACTCAGGTGAGCAAATGAAATTATATCCTCAGGAAACCATAGCAACCACCATTAAACCACATTCTCTTATAATGAAGCCATATTAATAAATATAATAAACACATTTATGATAAAGTCATATTAATCTGGAACCTGGAAAATTTAGCAATACTTTTTTTTGAAGTGCATTAATATTAGAGAATGCTAATATTCAAAGGAATCAAATAGTCCCCAAAGGACTAAACAGGCTCCTAAATGGTAAGCAGTTATTGGATATAATATTTACTACCTCCTGAGTGAAACTATTGATACTTCCATGTATCAAAGTCTGTGAATCCACGCCAGTAGGAAAATTGCAAGGAACTTGAGTGCAAAACTGCATACGATATATGGTCACATTGATCTGTGTTTTTCTCTGAATATTAACAAATACTGCATTAAAAGAAAAAAAACAAACCCCATAAAATCATTTCATAAAGTCGGCCTCTGCATTGTATCACCATGAAAAGCTGCTCTGTAACTTAACCAGAATCAAAAACATTGCCTAAAATGACCAGTTTAATAAGAAGTTCCCTAAGCTATCCCAGTATTTTCTACTACAAATCAGAAAATTCATTATCTTTTTGACAGTAAACTTAGTTCCAAGTATTTCAGGGCCGCAGCCTGGGATCCAGGTTCAGGTTTCTGACATGAAAATCTTTAATACAGCCTGAAGAAATTCCCTCAGACACATAGCAGTCATCCAATTTCATGTAAATGATTAAATTACCAACATTCAATTATATTTTCCAAACCTCTGTTTAGAAATTCTAAAGGCCCTCAGAAAACCAAAGCCCAAATTGGCAAGTGAAACCATTTACCTGCGAAAGCAAAACTAAGAGGGGTCCTCCCAACCCCAGTCGGCACATTGCGAACTGGCAGATGTACCCCATCCCTATTGTCAGGCACGAATTCTTTATAACACTGGGATACACCGCGGAACAAAAATACTATTAGAAATGCTTCAAAAGGAACATTTTTGGCTGTGATAGAGACTTTTGACTTATTTATTAGCTTCAAAAATGCTTCACAAAAGCCTCACAGTAGTCCTGTGGAAACCAGTACATCTGAGGCCCTTTCTGTTGTTCTGTGCAGGCATTGATTTGGGGATGAGCAGCTCTCGCGGAACAATTCCCTCGCAGCGGTCAAAGCAAGTGAGCATTCACCCCCGGCCAAGGAGGGGCCTGTGAACAAGCCTTATGGAAACGCCGGAGTGGACTCGAGGAGGGAGAAGAGCAAAACTTTATTAACTTCTCCGAGGAGAGACGTGTGGAAGCACCAGCGAGCCGAGGACGGGGCGCTCCTGCCAGATTGCCCTGGAGGGAGGCGTCTTCCCTGGGCCCCGTTTTCCCCGGGAAATAAGGATGCTTGGGGAGCATCTCCGGTGCCATGGTAACTGCACATCTTCCGACACGATTTCCTCGCGCGCCTAGGAACCCACTTTGGAAATCTGGGTTTGCCAGAGCACCTACTGGGGTTGCCACCTTCTGCTCCAGCTCAGGTTCTGAGAAACTCTCGGAAGCTTTCTGCAGGGTTAAGGGGGCCTGGCTTCTTCTGCAGAGGCTGATGGCAATGAAAGGTCTCCCTGAGGAACCTGGAAGAAAGAAGGATAAGGATGGCACTGAAGAGCGAGGAATTTGTCAGCCAGGCTTTTTAAAATCTCTGTGACTACTGGATGTCTGAGAAGTCGACGTTTGTAATGTGCTAAAAGACAAAAATCCCCTGACATTATCCTCATGCACTTCCCCACATTTCTTTAAGAAAGTAAAAATGTTATCTATTCCTTTCCTGCTACCTGAAAGTCCCTCATCCTCAAAATTTATTTTACCAAACCCTCATAAGACTTTTATTCAAGAGAAACTGTTCAAAACTTCTGGAGAAGGAAATAGAAGGACTGATAACTAAAATGGGCCCTCATCTTCTAAATTTGGGAGAAGTTTGTGAACAGAAAATTAAAGTGGGGTTCTTATCATGCAGCAAACAAACCGTATCTACAGCCCATTTAGACTAACAATAGATAATTTACAAATTCAAGAGGGAATTTCTTCATGGATTTTATCAGAAATTGGAAACCAGCTGAAAATTAAAACAATCAAGGAATTAACCTGATGTTTGGTCTACACAACACACGCACACACAACAATAAGTTTGATTAATTTTTCTTTCTTTCCAAAACCAACTCATTTTTTTATGTAAAAGACTAGTTTTTTTTTTTTTTTTAAATAACAATACAGCCCAAGACTGTAAAATGAAATATGGCACAAACAGTTAAGCACTTGACTAGGAGCCAAGTTTACAAAAGGTTCAAACACATCCTGAGGTGTCTCAGAAAACAGGCCTGGCAATCTGCTTCTGAAAGGTCACAGCCTTGAAAACCCTATGGAGCAATTCTACTCTGCACACATGGAGTCAGAATCAACTCAATGACAACTAACAACAACAACTATATATATGTATATGGAGCCCTGGGTGGAGCAATGGTTAAGCACCCTCCTGCTAACCGAAAGGTCAGTGGTTGGAACCTACCAGTGGCTCCGTGGAAGAAAAGACCTAGTTGGTGATCTGTTCCCATCAAGATTTCAGTCTAGGAAACCCTATGAGACAGTCCTACTCAGTCCTATAGGGTTCCTATGAGTCGTAATCAACTCGATGGCACACAACAACAAAATAGTCCATCTTAACATTTTTATCTGAGGAATTCTGCCCGTTGACCTATACAAATTAAAGTCTAATTTTTTAGTAGTGAATTAAGATGATTTACATGTTTTAAATTGCTTTCTACAAGTCTCTAAAGGGCTTTGAATAGCATGTAGTTATCTAAAACATATGAAACAACCCACAGGGTCACTCACAAACTCAACAATTAAGTAAGAATTTAAATGCACAGTAGCTTCCTAACACTGGCTATAAAACGGCCTATTTTTAACTGCATTAAGCTCATCTCACATTGTTCTAGGCCAGATCTGTACTGGTATCTCACACTACACACTCAACATGCCCAAATTAAACAGTGCAAGATTTCTAGTTAATCTGATTTCTCCAGTGTGAGAATTATTTCCTGAAAATTCAGGTGGAATGGTATATCAATATCTGCAGGTAAATAAAAGCTTTCAGAGATGTTTAATAGCTGTTTGTTGATTCGGATCCCCAGCCTTGGCAGATGACCCATTCACTGTAATCAATATCATCAGCGCACGAAGATTCTACCAGAGAATGTGGATGTGCCCCTGGAATTTAGAACAACAGATTTTGACCTAGACAGAATACTTACCTCTATCTTGAGCCAAAGAATAGGAATTCCTTCACTGAATGCAATTCAGTAATAAGCAAGGATTTGGGTCAGGTTATCACAGATTCAAATCCTGGTACCTCACCTGGCCTAAACCTCTTTGCCTTTTTCCTGAATCTAAAATATGGGGACTGTATTATCTACTGTATAGCGTTGCTAGTGGGATTAAGTTTGTTCATTCATTCATTTATTCATTGTTAATATTTACTGAGTGCTGTCTTAGGCTGGGTCCTCTAGAGAAGCAAAACCAGCGAAGCATGTATATATATATAAACCAAACTAGTTGCTGTCGAGTTTATTCTAACTCATAGCAACCGTACAGGACAGAGTAGAACTACCCCATATGGTTTCCAAAGAGCGGCTGGTGGATTTGAACTGCCGACATTTTGGTTAGCAGCCAAAAGTATAACCACTGCACCACCAGGACTCCATATACATATATATATATAGAAAGAGAGAGAGAGAGATTTATGTCAACAAAATGGCTCAAGCAGTTGTAGAGGATGGAAAGTCCCAAGTCTGTGGGTCAAGCTGGAGGCTTCTCCTGACACATAGCTGCAGAGGCTGGTGAACTCAAGATCAGCAAGTCAGACAGCAGGCCTCTGGATCACAGGGTGTGGAGGTTGACAAATCCCAAGATCGGCAGGTAAGCTGCTAGCTCAAGTCCCAAGAATCAGAGGTCAGGTGAGGAGCCTGCCACAGGATGCAGAGTGAGCAAAAGCCAGCAAGCTTTGTCAGAAAGTCCACATATATTAGATGCAGGCCACACCCCCAAGGAAAATCCCCTTCAACTGATTGGCTGCTCATAGCAGATCTCATCATGGAGGTGATTACATTATATCAGATCTCATTATGGAGGTGATTACATCATTACATAGCCACCAAACTACATCACAACTACCAAACCACTGAGAATCACGACCTAGCCAAGTGGACACTCAACCTCAACAATCACAGTCCACACCTTGTTAACTTGGCATCGATAAACGTCTTCCTAAACCATACACAATCTCTAAATAAAGACAATTATAAAGTCATACTTGCGCCTAACATGATACAACTAACACACATACAACTGAAAACGCACTAGTCCTATTTACATCTGATATTTTATAAGTGAAGAAAACAAAAATATTTGATGCACACACACAAGGAAGAAATATTCATAACAATTACAGTCTCGTTTCTGCAACTGGTCACACGGTCGTAGCTGGTATTTAGAACTACCTTCTTCCACCACCCATTCCATTCTCCCTTTTTCCTAAGCAAGTACCTCAGCTGGTTGTGGTTCTTTGCCTGGTGGGGTGACCCAAACCTTCATTCCTGAAGTGTCTAGGCCATTAGTAGTTATGTTGGAATTGGGTTGCTGCAGTTTTCCATTGACTTTAATCACAGGGGATGGTAGTACTAAAGAGATATCCTAAGGGATCTCCTGTATTGCAGACATACCCTTCTTTACCTCTATTATGTAATATCAATCCAATTTCTTCTTGGTAATCAGAATCAATCACACCAGCCAGTATGGCAAGTCCTTTCTTTGCCTGTTGATCCAGAGGCATAAGGAGCCCAAAGTGGCCAGGTGGCATTCTTAACCTCCAGTTCAATGGAATCAGTGTTGTGTCTCCTAGTGGGAGAATTCTTCCCTTTAGAACTAAGCCATCTAGACCCATAAAGCATAGGGTTGGGGGAACAGGAACCAAAATTTTGTGAGTGGGACACTTGGGGTAATAGTGAGTGGTACCACTCCCATTTCCACCTCTTGATTCCTGGACCCATGAATCCTGGCTATGGGAGAAACAATGCCACATATTGGACACTGGTTTAGAGCATATACAGCCTCCTGGAGAACACTGCCCCAACCCTGCAAGGTATTGCCACCTAGCTGATGCTGTAATTGTGTCTTTAAAAGGCCATTCCATTGTCCTATCAAGCCAGCTGCTTCAGAATGATGGGGAACATGATAAGACCAGTGAATTCCATGAGCACGGACCCATTGCCACACTTCATTTGCTATGAAGTGAGTCCCTTGATCTGAAGCAATGCTATAATGGGATACCATGACGGTGGATAAGGCATTCTGTAAGTCCACGGATGGTAGTTTTGGCAGAAGCATTGCATGCAGGGGAGGCAAATCTGTATCCAGACGAAGTGTTTATTCCATAGGAACAAAATTCTGCCCTGTCCCTGATGCAAGCAGTTCAGTGTAATCAATTTGCTACCAGGTTGCTGGCTGATCACCTCGAGAGATGGTGCCATATCAGGACTCAGTGTTGGTCTCTGCTGCTGGCAGATTGGGCTCTCAGAAGTGACTGTAGCCAAGTAGGTCTTAGTGAGTGGAAGTCCATGTTGCTGATCCCACGCATAACTTCCATCCCTGCCACTATGGCCACTTTGTTCATGAGCCCATTGGGCAATGACAGGAGTGGCTGGGGAAAGAGAATGGTTTCCACAGAACACATCATCCTATTCACTTGATTGTTAAAATCCTCCTCTGCTGATGTCACCCTTTGGTAAGCACTCATGTGAGACACAAATATCTTCACTTCTTTGGCCCTTTTAAAGAGGTACTTCCACAACCTCCTCCCCATACCTTCTTGTCTCTAATTTACCAATCATGTTCCTTCCAAGTCCCTGACCATCCAGCCACACCATTGGCCACGGCCCATGAATCAGTATACAATCACATATCTGGCCATTTCTCCTTCCAAGCAAAATGAACAACTAGGTGCACTGCTTGACATTCTGCCCATTGTGAGGATTTCCCTTCACCACTGTCCTTCGGGGAGGTCCCAGAAAGGGGCTGTAGTGCTGCCGCTGTCCAATTTTGAGTGGTGCTGCACATCACACGGAAACATCTGTAAACTCAGTCATCTGATCGTAAGGAGCTCCCCATGAGGCCATAGGTGCACACTGGGAGGGGGCAGATAATGTGACAGAAGTGGAGACCATGGGTATTTGGGCCTCCTTCCCATGCAGCTTACTTTTGCCTTCAGGTCCTGCTTGGGTCCAATTTTGTATATACCACTTCCATTTAATAACGGAGTACTGCTGTGCACATCCAATTCTATGACTGTGAGTCAGACAACACCCAACTCATGATGTGCAGCTCAGGCTGCATGGTGACTTGGTATCCCATGGTTAAGCATTCAGTCTCTACTAAGGCCCAGAAACAAACCAGAAGTTATTTCTCAAAAGGAGAGTCATTATCTGCAGAGGATGTCAAGGCTTTGCTTCAAAATCCTAAGGGTTTGCACTGTGATTCACCAATAGGGGCCTGCCAAAGACTCCAAACAGCATCTCTATCT